CGGCCAGCGACGTTGCCCACGGCGCAGTGCCGCAGCCCCGCCCGCAGGCCCGCCGGGGCGGGGCCGCCGTCCGAGGGCGTGGCGCTCCCGGCCGCTCCGCGCTCCGCCTCCCCGAGCGCTCGGCGCCGTCTTCGTCGCCGTCGTCGTCGTCGCCGGTCCTCCTCGTCGCCGCCTCGTCGCCGTCATCGTCTAGACAGGCGCGTTCAACTACACCATGCGAGATGCTGAAGAAATCATATGGGTTAAGGGATTCATAGTCTCAGAATTTGAATAAAAACCCCGAACTGCTGTCAAAATCTTGGGGTTTACATTGAAGTATTAAGAATCATCGGGACTCTCGCCGAAAACTTTGGTTTTCTTAAGCATCGCCTAGGGTGTACTCGCACAATGGCTCCGCGCAAATGGCCTGGATCCGCCGCGGGGATCTACAAGACGACACATCGAGGCGCCCCGATGTCGTTCGGACGCGAACGGAGTAGTGAAACGCTCTCGGTGATCGTCGGCGCCGTCATCGTCGTCATCGTCGTCGCCGACGTCGCCGACGTCGCCGTCGTCGCCGTCGTCGCCGCCGCCGCCATTGCCGCCGCCGCCACTGCCGAACCCGGGCCCGCCCTCGCCGTCTCCTCGTCCTCACACCCTCGCCCTTGGCCGTCCAGGGGCTTCGCCATCGCCCTGTGTTGTTCCTGCTGCTGCCCCGCCTTCTGAGAGAGAGGGATGTGCGGATGAAGGGCCTCGCTCTCGCCCTCGCCGCCGCCAACGTCGTCGCCGGTCTGCCGCCGGTGCCAGGGACGGGTCGTCGCCGTCGCCCTTTGTTGTTCCTGCTGATGCTCCTCCTTGAGAGGGGGAGGGGTGAGGATGGGGGCATCCCGCTCCCAGTCCCATCCTGCCCCCCCCCCTGGATACCTTCAGATTCTCTGCCCTGAAGCCCCTACCCCCCCACTCCAGAATCCGCCCGAGCTCCTCATCGCACCCCGCTCCCCCTCCCTCTCCTCCATCTCCGCGTCCACTCCCTCCCCCGCTTCGGGCCCTCGGACGGTTCTGTCGGCGCTCTCTTCCCAACCTCTTTGAAGCCTGCAGGGGAGGCCTCGGGAGCAGGGAGTGCGAGATCCCTCCGAAGACAAGGTGAGAAGCATCGCTGGCAACATAATGTGGCTGCTTTTGGGGCTGTGGAGACCCAGAAGAACACACGGTGCAGATCATGGATCATGAAAACTTGTATCAACCTATGATCCTGCAATCGCTTGCCCTTAGCCAGACCACATTCTGGACAAGTCAGCTGCACGCTAAATGCTTGAAATACACTTCATTCCATCAGGAGAACAAGCCGGCGCAGGCACAATCGGAGGTGCAGGAACGAAATGATTATGGAGTGTGAGAGCGGACGGAGGATCATGGAGGACGGAGGGAGTTGGATGGTGGAGGAATTCTTGAGGATAAAAGAGGACGACGCCGATGAGTAGGACGAAAGGAGAGGATGGCGATGTAATGACATTACCCCTGGGAGGACGGAGGAGTAGAAGAGGGATAGAGCACGGTGAACACGGTGGCGGAATACTGACTACGGCACTGTGGAGGAAAAGGAGGGGTGGCAGAGAAGGACGGAAGAGGCAGGATCAATGACGTTGGGATGCAGGAAGAGAAGGAGGAGCAGGAGGAGGAGGATGAGGAGAAAGAGCATGTGGTAGGAAACAAGAGGCAGGAAGCTTTCTCCCCTCCCCCCTGCTCTTCCATCCTGCTCCTCCCCATCCTCTTCCTCCTGTCCTCGGCCCGACCTCTCCCGCAGAGCGTCCCGGCCAGGGCTCCCCTGGAGAAGCCTCGGGAGCCAAACGTGTGACAGCTCCAGCCTCTTTCTGGCATGGGAGGTCTCTGGGGCGTTCCCGGGGGACCGGCTCCCCCTCCCGAAGAACCCTGCTCTTGACAGCCCGGCGGCCCAGGAAGGAGCCCCAGGCAGCCCGAGGACGCCGACACACAACCCCGCGACTCCCGCTCGACCAGGACCCGCTCCTCCACGCTGGCCCTTCGGCGGTGGACAAACCTCCCTTTAATAAACCACCCCTTAGTGAAAACGGCCTAGGACCGAAACCGACGGCCGCGACGCCCTCTCGCGAACCGCAAACGGCCAATTCGCTAATCGACGCGTCAAGGTAGGAGGCCTACCAACCTCAGAGCCCTTCCTGGGTCCTGGGGGGGCGGCACTATCGACGCCGCACTGGGCCCCGCCTCGTCGGAGGCGCCGCCGCCAGCGCCGCACGGCCTGGGCCGCTGGGATCGCGACGCCACCAGCTGGTAGACCGCGAGGGGGCAGAGTACCTCGTGATCGTCTGCAACGCCGCCGCCGTCGCCGCCGCCGTTGTCGTCAACAACGTCGTCGTCCTCCTCCTGCCTCTCCTCGTCCGCCTCTTCCTTTCCTCCTTCTTCTCTTCCGCCTACTTTTCCTTGTCCTCTCTGGTCCTTTACGTATCCTCCTCTTCCTCCTGGATCCTCCTCCTCACCCGTCTCCCTCTCGACCGCCTGCTCATAATCTTTCTCCATTGCTATCCACTGCGTTATTCTCCCTCGCTCGCTTGCTGACTTACGGGCAGAGAGAGGATCAGAACCCATGCTTGCAACGTGAGGGGGCGAATGCAAAAACCCCACTAACGTGCACATGGAAGGGGGAGGGAGCAGAGCGAAAACAGGGCCTGGCCGCTTGCAGCTGGCGCTCCAACGGCACCAGCTCTGGTGCACGCTTCCGCCACCAGCCCACAGAATGTGCCACCCGCTGCCCACTCCGCCTGCCAGGTGTGGGGCTGCGGGGTGGGGGCGGGGATGGCACGGGAGCGGCGGTGGTGAGATGCCCCCCCTGCACATCATGCCTGGCCACAGCACACCCCCTCCAGCTCGGCCCCCCGAGCAATCACACCGACGTGGGAAGAGTGTGCGGGGGAGCAGGAGCCACAGATCTCGACAGCACCAGGCTGTATCCCCTTGGGCTTCACCGCTCACTGAAGATCAGCCAGGCCAGTGCTGCCAAGGTCTGCTTGAGCCAAACAAGCTACGGAGCCTTCTCCTCCATGTTCGTCCCCTCACCCTGCTATCCCGCTTCCATCCTCCTCCTCTTGCTCCCCTCCGCTTCCATCCTCCGTCCTCCGCTTTCCCAGTTTCCTTCCAACCATATTATTGATCCTCGGTGTCCGAACTCCTTCGTTGTGTGCACCGTCCTGTGTTTGATCGTAACCCAACACGTTACTGTAAATGCCGCTTTCTTTGGCTCAAGCGTGTCAGTCCACCCATCGGCGACAACACACACCACTGTACCTCTGTTCGGTAACTTGGGGAATACAATGTAATCCCATAGGAACCGTCCCGTCGACCTTTGATGGTAGCTGGGCGAGGTCATGGCGAGATTCGCGAAAGCGATAGCGACCACCGGGCAGGACTGCCAACTCTGAAAGCACTTGCCTCACTGCCTGTCGGCAGGGGGGGCTACGAGCTCATGCAGGCAGCGCTCCAGGCTGAGCGTGATGCGCTGCAGTGAACTCTATCTGGGCGAATACGAGCAGCGGGGTCGTAGAGACACGTCACGTGAGCATGCATTCGCAATGGCGCATATGTGTGGCAACACAAACCAGATATTCCGGATCATGAGCACGAAGAGGAAACGATCAGGGTGAACCGCCGGGTCGCGGAATCGGAGCACGCTATCGAGGAGAGCACGAAGTCGAACGACTTATACTAGTAGACAATACTGTTTCCTGGCAGATGTCGCAAAAAGTAGCGGACCATCAGTGAGTCAAGCGCAGCGGAAGGGCTGAGAAGCTTCAACGGAGATTGGTCACCGCTCCGGGAGGGGAGCGGTCGGTTGCCGACTGCCTTGGCGCCCGTGAACAGCGGGAGCCGCAAGGCACGCAAACTGCCCACTGCGAAACTTGAGAGAGTGGACGGATCTGTGCAAGATCCAGGTGAAGAGGGCAGCGCGATCAGATCACGGAGTGGGCGACCCACTGCCTCTGAACACAGTGAGGCATGCATCGAAACGCCGCTCAGAGAGGATGCATCGGATGCAGGGCGCGTGTATGACGAGGAAGACCAGGTGAAGATTGTGGTGAGCATCTACAAGGCAAATCGCGAGCACGGAGGCGCGAGGCAAATTCCTGGGTCTGCGTGAAAGTGGAGGAATGATCTCGTACGTGAACGTGTAGAAATTACACTCTGCGGTGGCAAGTGTAGCACTATCAGCAGAAGTGTGCCGAGCTATGAATCCCGCAAGACCTAAGACGGTAAGTGACACGTCGTCGCAGTTGGAACAGCGAAGTGTCTTACACCACAGTTGTTCAATTATGGAACCTCGCACGCGTTGCCTCTGCAATTCAGCATTATGGCCCGGGGAAACAATAGCGCATGCAGGTGAATGGTTCGATGACTGGCTTATCTTTGGGTCACGCTCATCACTCGGCGGCGAAGCAGAGCACACCACTGTACCCTGCTTTATTAACTTGCAAAACGTATTTCTCTCCCCATCCAGACCGTCACGTCAAACTTTCATGTTGCCCTCCTCCTCCTCCTCCTCCTCCCCCTTCTGTTCCTTCTCCCCCTCCCCTCCTCCCTCGCCCTCCTCCACTTGCTCCTCCTCCCCCTCCTGCACCTCATTCTCTTCCCCCCTCCTCATCCTCCTCCTTATCCTCTTCACCCTTCTCATCCTCTGGGATATTTCCCCCTCCTCTTTCTCTCTCTCCTCCTCCTCCTCTCCTCCTCCTCTCCGCCCTCGTTCCCCGCATTTCCCTCCATCATTGGACGCCCCCCAGATGGGGTCCGACCAGATGGAGTCGGAAGATTGCGCCGCATGCCCGATGCACCGGCGACGTCGGTGATGCGTCGGCGACGTCGGCGTGGATACCATCGGGCTCTACACCGAGCCGCATTGCCGATGCGCATTTGCGATGCGGCGCGATCCTCCGACACCATCCACTCTGACCCCGTCTGGGAGGGCTGGAAGCACCCCTCCACCTCAACCTCGGCTTCTCATCTTCCTCCTCCTCATCATTCTGGTCTTCTCGTCCTGCCCCGTCGCCAGGTTGGCGGGATACCAGGCACATCACGCCCGCGCACACCAGCCGGAGCGTCCAGTCGGACAGCCCCTGACCCGCAGGATGAGCGCGAAAGGGGGCCCGCCCATCCGCCCCTCCCACAGCAGGAAGAGGAGATGTCAAGGAGGAGCCCTGAGATCTGGGCGGGGGCATGTTTTTTTGCACACCCAGCGCGTTTTCGCCCGCTGCCGGGCCTCTGGACCACCGCAGACAGAGTCAGCTCGACAAGTGCGGCAAGAAGATGGGGCCTGGGGCTCTGGCCGTGATTATGTGCGATGGTCTATTCTTTTTGCAGCGTCGGCCAGTTGTGATGTGGGGAATGATAGATCTGACCAATCTGAGTTATTTTGTGGGGAATCAAACCCACGATGATATCATTTATCATTCCCCACGTTTTGCGAGGGGAGTGATTTTGTGTGATTTTGTGATATGCCAATTTTGTGCGAGGGGAAATGATACATCTGAGAAGTCTTCGGGGTGCGCACAGACAGCCTCTGGGTAGTTCCGAATGGCCTCACCAGCCCACCCGAGGAGTCCCGAGCCGTCTCACTACCCTGGCGCCGCCTCTGGCGGCGCCCCTGGTGCGCTCCGAACCCCAGGGGTGGGGTGTTGAGACCGCCCTGGACTACTGGGGGGGGCCTGTTGAGGTCAACTGGGGCCACCTGGGGGGCTGTCTGTCCGCGACCCGAGGGGTTACCAGTCAAGGAGGGAGATGATGGGGGCCTGAGATGAGGAATCTGTGAGGAGCATCGGGACGAGGGCGAAGGGATGTTGGGCAAGATGGCGTACGGGTGGGGAGGAGGAGGAGGAGGAGGAGGCGGAGGAGGAGGCGGAGGGGAGGGAAATTGTTCATAGCTCTTCCGCAGCTTTCCGATTCGTTTTCCCTATGGGCTGTCGTGAAAACAAGCAGGCCTACCCTGGCGGGCGGGTCGTGAGGGTGGGACACTGCAGCGGGCGGGCTGTCCAAGCAAGCGAGCGGGCGGACCCTGACGGGCAAGTCTGGCGGGAGGACCACCCAGACACGCGACGTCCTGATTTTTTTCAGGACGTCCCTGGGAGTCCCGATCCTTTCCCCGGGGCTCGGTTTCTCATCCTGAGTCGTTTTTTGACGGTCCCGAGGCCTGGCGAGGGCTCCCCGAGGCCAAACATAGCCAAAAACCTCCCGTCCTGATTTTTTAACGACGCGATCATGTCTGGGCATGACAGATGGGTCGGCTGGGCGGGAAAATGAAGGGCGGCCAGGCTGTCAAGCAAACGAGCGGGCGGACACTAACGGGCGGGTCGGGCGGGCGGGTCCTGACGGGAGGGCTGGGCGAGACATTCGAGCTGATGGCCGGAGCTGAACTCAAGCGACCGGGCGCACTCTGACGGGGGAGTAGGGGAGGACAGGTGAGGACGAGGGCGAGGAAGACGAGAAGGACAATGGGGGGAAGGAGGCGAGGATAGGCGAGGCGAGGCAAGTTCGTCCGATGCTGGCACGCCTGTCCCTGAAATCCGACGTGGCGAAAACATTGCAACATCATAAAACATTACGCCCAGAGCCCAGGATCCCTTGTTTCTGCATCATTTTCCGAGCCGGATCGATCTGAGAGGGTCCTGGGGCACGAAACAAAGCGAAAACGCCGGGATCGAAAAGATTGAAACGCCAGGATCTCAAGGTTTGTCCAGTGCTGGCACTCCTGGGCCCACTTCGTGGAGAAGCAACCGCCCTACTTCCGGTCCAGGGCTGGCCAGCGGAGGACACGCAGAGGGGGGCATCGAGAGGAGGGCTGCCGTCCGAGTGTGCCGCCTTACAGCAGTGGCGCCCGTGGCCGAGCCTTGCGAGGTATGGTTGGGGTCCGCTGCAGGTAAGGCCGGACCGAAGGCACAAGAACATCCTTCAAGAAAACATTGAACACGAGGGCGCTTACGCGCGGCCTTGCGCGGGCAGTCTATGCGCCAATGTCGGCGTAGTCGACCCCGCTTTCGTTCGTCGCTCATTTTGCGGGGGGCCAGCTCAGGGGGGGAAAACATCGACAAAGGGGGGAACATCGATGGGGAATTGGCGATACGGCCAGACCTGAAAAACAAAAGAACATACTTCAAGAACATGAGACCCTCCGCTGGCCCATACACCCAGGACATGTGAGGGCGCCCTCCCACAGGATGCACAAGAACATCCAACAAGCACGACGAGCATTGGGGTACCCTCCCCGAACCGATCTCGATCCTATCCTAAACCTCGGTCCGAACGCATTCTCCTGCAAGGCGTCGTGCAGCCCCTTCGAGGGGCAGCTGTACCAGAGGCGGGGCGAAGAGTCGACGGACGAGAAAGGAGGAAGAGGCTCGCACATTCGCTTGCAAATGCTGGCTGAGAGAGTCAATAAAAAAAGGAGACGCGACACCGCGCGGATTTCTCGGATCGGCGCTGGACCCCCCTGCCTGGCGCGCGGAGCGCGCCAGGGGCGGCGCAGGAGGCTCCGCCGTGGGGCCCCAGCGCCGATCCGAGAAATCCGCGCGGACCTCCGAGCTTTTATGTCTATGCCACTTTTCGTTCCCCTATACCATCCTCTAGTTCTTCCTCTCATTATCCTGGGTAGGAACCATGTCACGGACAGTGTGGCGATGGTACGGGTGGCAGACAAGAGGCGACGATACTGACTACGTGGACGCCGCCAAGGAGGACGCGAAGCCCAAGAAGGCCACTCCAGGCCTAGATGCGCTGCCGGGTAGCTCGCAGGGCACTGGTGTGCGGGTTGTATCGTAGGCGTTATCTGCGGGTTCGTGGTGAATGATTTTGTGCAGGTGGTATCTCAAAACTGTGCCCAATACAACTCAATAGAGCTCATGAACATCATTGAACTGCTTATCTGGACGCCCGAGGCCGAATCTGCCAATCACGCGCGCTGAAGGGATCTACCGCGAGAGGGAGACTAAGTGCCAAGTCGCGGGCATCGGAGGTAATAGCATATGCCGTCCTCGGCATGGCAGCCGGACCTGCACGTGAGGCGCTCTTCTAACACGTGCATTCGGTGGCTTGCTGGCCAGGCCCCAGTCAAGGTTTACATCACTGCCCAGCGCGCCTCAGGCTTTAGGGTAGCGCGGATGGCACGGAGACGATGCCAACGGGACGGGCACGTTGCTGTGCCCTTGGAGCGCCTCGCGTGCTGCTCGAGCTCCCGCCAGGCCCTGCCGAGAGCCGCTGCCGCATGAACGCCGTCACGACGGAGCCGAGCGTGCAGGCGCGCCGAGGGGTGGTCATCGAACGTCTGGACCATGGCCCGCTGTCCCTCCAACACGGGGGAGACCACGGACCCTGCACCTCCCCTGTCGCCAGCCCCTCCTCGAGCGCATGCTCGCGCAGGCTCTCCTCGGGGATCTACTGACTCGGGTCAGTCCATGCCCAGCTCAGTCAGGCCTCGCGGGATCCTGCAAGATCCTGCAGGCTCCTGCGGGCTCCTGCGCGCTGACGCGGGTCAGTTGAGCCCCGATCTCCATCCATTGCGGCCACGTCGGCATGGTGACCGCCGCTGCGCGCCACGTCGTGGCGAACGACAGTGCCAGCATCGGAGTGGAGGACGTCATGGCCACCCAGCGCAGCATGCTCAGCAGGTCATTTCTGGTGAAATGACCACGCCGAGGAGGAGGATGACGACGACACCGTCGAGCGACGAGTAGGATGACGAAGATGACGATGATGGTCACGAGGACTGCGCCGAAGATGATAACGACGTCGATGCTGGCGCCGTCGACGACTATGGGACGCCGACGCCGTCAACGAGAGCGACGACGAGAACGATGAAGACGACGACGGTGACGACGAAGACGTATACTAGAGGCCTCCTAGATGGGGTCGGAGTAGATGGGGTCAGAAGATCGCGCCGCATCGCCGATACATCGGCGATGCATCGGCGATGCATCGTCGACGTCGGCGATGCATCGGCGACGTCGACATGAAGCAAATCGGGCTCCACATCGAGCCGCATCACCGATGCATCGGCGATTCGGCGCGATCCTCCGACCCCATCTACTCCGACCTCATCTAGGAGGCCTAGGTATACGGCGATCGTGGCGATGGCGACGGCGGCGGACACGACGACGCCCGCGCCCCCGCCTGCGCAAGCTGCGCGCCGAGGGCCACCCCTGGCAGGCTGCAGAGCCCCAGGCAGGCGGCCACCTCGGCGCAGCCGCCGTCGTCAGCGCCGAGGGTCGAGACCTGAGGATCGTCGTTGGAGGAGGAGGAGACGGAGGAGGAGGAGGAGGAGGAGGAGGAAGAGGAAGAGGACGAGGAGGAGGAGGAGGAGGAGGAGGAGGCCCCGACTTTTTGTTGTTCGTTCCTCTGTTCTTGGGATCCCTCCTGGTCTCTCTGGAACCATCGTGAACCTCAGGGGGCCTTCGGGGCCTTCCGAAACAGCCGGGGAACCAGCAGGGGCACGCCGAAAGAGGTAGTCGGCGTCGCCGTCGCCTAGGCTGCCGCCTCCGTCATCGGCGTCGCCATCATCGTCATCGTCGTCGTCGCCGTCGTCGACGCCGCTCTCGTCGTCGCCGCCCTCGTCGTCGCCGCCCTTGTCGTCGTCTCGTGTTGTCGTCGTCGCCGCCGCCGCGAAGAGGAACACATAGGGGAGGGAGGGACAGAGGGCCACCCAAACACCTTGGCGGTAGCTTGAAACCAGTACGCGGCGGGTTTCGATATTCCAGGGGCTTGCACTGCTTCTGGCTTTCCCCACGTATGGCATTGCTGCTGGTTGCTCGGTTGCTACCTACCTGATCCAAATTTATTGCTTACGTTCGCTCCAGAAATGGAGAATCCGCTTTCCTCTGGTGGGCCTTACCATCTTCATCGACGATCTTCTGTGACAGCGATCAGCAGGTACGAAGAGGGAGGTCGTTAATCAGTTGACGGTGGCAGCAGCTGTGTTCTTAGACTTGATATAAGACGAACTACGTTGTAAGGTAGCCAATCGGAAGTGGGTTCTGGTGGCCAGCAGCCCGGCTCTCAGGGAGATACTCGCGACCAGCTTCGGCAAGTATTCGGGGAAGCCGAAGCAATCGGCGTCCAATATTGGCACCGATTTCTGTTCCGGTAGCCTCAGGCCCATGGGGGGAAGCACATTGACGTTAAAATCCTGTCTCCTGAATCTTCGGAAGAGAAGTGCAAGGCTTCATGCATTGAAGAGGGCTGTAGCCCCCAAGGAACGTCTGTTCATTACTGGTTTGCAGTCGTTTGGATTCCACGGCGCGGAGGTTGTTGGAGTCACCGCTGACGAGCTCCATGAGGGCCAAACGGAGTTTCTACGTTTAGCGGGGGAGTCGTCTCCAAGCAGATTTCGCTCGCTGTCTTTACTGGTCCTCGACGATCCTTTATGGCGCCAAGGTTTAGGACCGGGTCTCTCCTGGGCCAACATGGTGTGGAAAGCATCCGCCTACTACAGATATCGTAGCTAGGTCACTCTGCCGCAAGTGTCTCAGCTCGCAGATGCCATTTTGACCCGTCCTCCGTCCACGTGGGACCAAGTACGGGGACCTCTTGGAGCAGCCGCATTGTCCGTGGGCCGCCTTGGCCGGAAATTCGACGGCGCTTCCAGGCCTGCTTCGGACCGGGGTTGTGGCCTACAGCTTGACGGACACTACGCCCGGAACGCTCCAGGCAGCCATGCAGAAGGGATGGAGGGCCAATTACACTTGGCCGAGCAGGCGAAGAAGGTAATAGGAGGAGGAGGAGGAGGAGGAGGAGGAGGAGGAGGAGGAGGAGGAGGAGGGGGAGGGGGAGGGGGAGAACAGTGGGCCTCAGCGACGCCGATTCGTCAGGGGACTCCTCGGGCGCTCGTGAGCTCTTGCCATCGCCGTTGAGCTCGAGTCAGCGGCGTGGTGCGAGTCGACCGTTGGTCGGGAGCGGCCAAGAGGGGGGTGTCCAAGAGGGGGGGGTGCAAATCATGACAGGCGGCATGTGCGCGGCCCAGCGGGGGGGCCAGGGACGTAATGAAACAAGAAGAGGCGCCATGAAATCTGGGCAAATATCATGGCCCCCGCCATGATATCCCCCCCCCCCCTAGTCATCACCCCCCTCTTTTCCGCCCCCGAGTTGGCGTGTCGGACGTGTTGGAGCTCGGCCAGGCTTCGCAGCTGCGGCTACGACACGGATCCTCTCTGCGCTCGCTGCGGTCAGGACGATACCCTGCACCGCAGGATCTTCACGTGTCCCAGAGCGAGGGAAGGACAGGATGAGACGTTGCCCTCCGCTATGCTGGATGCCCTCCTGCATCCCGACAAGAGGCGGTATCTTCTCCTGGGGTTTCAGGCGTTACTTGATAAGGTATTCATTCCCCCTCCTGGCTGGGGATACGACATGCACGAATTCTGGTCCGCAGGAGGGCTACCTATGTCCGAAGCCTTGGTAGGTGTAGTCTACTCTGACGGCTCCTGCTTCAAGAGTGGGCCCACGTGGCACATCAGGGCGGGGTGGGGCTTCATCAAGCTCGATTGCGACGTCGATGTAGTAGCACGCCTATGCGGCAGAACATGAGATAACTTGCCTCAGACTTCCCCTGCCAGGGAACATCCGGCGGTGCTCGCAGCGGCCTCTGTGACCCTGGGCAGCAGCAGACTTACCCGCCGCTGCCTAGGATCACAGAGGTCAGATCCGACTTCAAAAGAGTTGCAGATATGCATTTTCAGGGGCCGCCTAAACTTGTATAACAGCAAAGACTTCTACTCGGGTCTCAACATGCTCACGCTAGGTGGAGCTCATCGGGACTTCAAAGTGGTAAAGGTCCCTGCCCATGTTGGCCCTGACTCTTTAACCCGATGCTCTGACGAATGGTTTGACGCTGTCGGCAATCAGGCGGCCGACGAGGCGGCCAAAGCAGGGGCCCTTCTGCACGCAGATGCTGGCCCAGCGGCGGCCGAAGACTGGATGTTAGAAATGTCCGCTCTCAAGGCGTATCTGGAATACACCACGGAACTGTCAAGCGCTGGCCCTCTCGGGTGTCCGGCAAGTGCAGGAGACTGGCCCGTGCAGCAGGGGCCGGTAGGGGAGTGAGGTTCGCGGCAGACGTCCCTTTAAAAAAATCAGAATATATGAATATTACTATCTATACATATCTATATACATATATATATATACATATTAAACAAACAAGCGTCCCTGTGTTTGTATGTGGGTACAATTGCCTTGTCCAGCAGGGGTGAGGCTTCAGGGCGTGCTGCCAGCGCCGCTGCCGCTGGCCCCCTCTTGCCCCCGATGCTGCTCCCCTCCCCGCTTCTGCTGCTCCACCTGCCGGGCCCCAGCACGACTGGCGCTGGCGGCCGACCAACAAGCTCTGGTTGGGCACCGATCAATAATCCACAGGAATTAAGATGCCCACGTTTTTTTTGTATCTCAAAAACAAGATGATGGCATCAATTTCGTTTTTAATAGAAATAGCCAGAGACGCACCTTCAAGGGTCCTCCTCTGTCTGGAGCAGTGCGGAGGGCTTGGCAAAGTCTTCCCGGACCCTCTGCGCGAATCCCCTCAACCACACCTTGCCTGCGACGGAACATGCCCAAAGCATCCTCGTCATGTGTAGTAAGTGCGGATGTATGTCCGAAGGTGAGCGCGCCGTGGGGTTGGACGACGCCTGCAATCGCAGGATGGAAACCGACCGCCGCGCGAGCAATTGCTCAAAGGGCGTAGAGAGGTCTTCACCCAGACCACAAGCGAGGCCATTTAGTTTTACAATCGCCGATTCCCTCCTCAGCTATGCTTCATATTGAGCAGGACTGCCTCCTGTCCCCCGAGGGGGCGGGAATTCGGGCGGTTGCTCCTGCCCAGTGCTGTCGGTGCGCAAATCCAGGGGGGGGGGATCGCTACGATCATGAGGTTGGGTCCTGGGTGGGAGGTTGAACGGTTCTCTCCCAGAGGGACCTGGTGAAGCCCAGGCCCGACCTTGAATACCAGGCACTGTGCCAGCACGTCGGGGCTGGCGGTTGCTCTGGCAGGGCATCGGCCACTCTGCACAGCAGGACGGTTGCTGGTTCTTCCTCTGCTTCCACTGTTTCGTTTGAGCTCTCCCCCAATCGCCAAGTCCAAAAGTCCTTCCTCTCTTCCTCCTCATCCTCCTGCTCCTCCTCCTCCTCCTCCTCCTCCTGCTCCTGCTCCTGCTCCTGCTGCTCCTCCTCCTCCTCCTCCTCCTCCTCCTCCTCCTCCTCCTTGTCATCAGCCAGATCAACTTTCCCCACATTCCCTCTTTTCCAACCCCACCGAATAGTCACATTTTCTCCAACAGCGCATCCACCGATCGAAGATGACTGCACGATTCGCGAGCACCGCATATCACCGCAGCAATGCCGCCCCGCAGCGTGCAACGGCGACGCAAGCGGCTAGTAATGAACGCAACACGGGGCAGCGGACCAGGGTATGGAAGAGGGATGGGCAGCAGTGGGCAAGATGGTTGTCAGCATCTACGTGACGAAAGTATAGCAGCACTAATAACTCGAAAGTCAACCGTCGCGATCACAGCTGACATCGCAGAGGACATCTCGTGCGCAATCCACCCCAGGCTTGGCTGCAGACGCCCGCAATTTCGTGGCACAGGAGCGCGGGAAGAGGAGGCTGGCAAGAGCCAGACGGCATTGGCACGGCGCAGAGAGGTCATGCAAGCCGAAGGAACAATCCGCGTGGAACTCTGTGTGTGGGTGGGGCCAGGATGACCAGCGCCCGACTGCCGAGGAGCAGCGGACCACACGAGCCAAGCATCGCAACACTACAGGTCCCACCGGTATGTGTCGGAATCGCACTTTCGCTCGCCGCCGTGTTTCGAGGCGTGGCCCAGCCTGCTCAGCTGCTCCGCTGCGTGGTGCTCGAGGCGCCCTTCGCCCTTCGCTCTCCGTCGTGCCATGAAGATCAGCGTCGTGCTGCTGGTATGCTGGTTGCTGCCGCGCTGCTCAACGACACGGTGTACCACGCGCTGCCCGTCTCGCTCGTGGATGCCACAATTGTTCTGCTGCTCGCTGCCGTGCTGCTCGGCGTGCAGCTGCGCTGGAACCCGTCGTGCTGGTCGGCGAAGCGATGCCCCGCGCGCTGACCGCTGCTTCTTACGGCCCTCCGGGGCATGCCATCTGGGCAGGCGCCTGAGCTCGTGCCCCTCGCTCGCAGATACGGGAGGAGGGGGAGGATGCCAAAAGAGGAGAGGGAGTGAGTGAGGATGACGGGGGACGAGTGCCTTGTTCCCCTCCTCCGCCTCCGACGGCGGCGGCGACGACGACGGCCGCCTTGAAGTCGATGTGTCCGCTTTGCAGCCAGTGCCCCCCCGCGGCGACGGACGAGGCGGACTGGGCCACGATGCTCGTGGCCACGGCCTCTCGGGCGGCCGATGGGGGAGAGGGAGTGCTGGATGGACTGCAGTGGCAGGGGGCAGAGGAGAGGGGTAGGGGGGAGGGGAAGGAGGATGGGAGGGAGGATGGGAGGGAGGGCTGGGCGAGGGAGAGAGGACTCTGATAGTGGGGGAGAGGGGATGGGGATGCCCTCCTCCCCTCCCTCTCCCTCCTCATCTTCTTCCTCCTTCTGCCATTGTTCCAGCTCCCCCCCCCTCCCCCACCGCTCCTACACTTCTCCCAGTTCCCGTCTTCCTTCTCTTCTCCTGTCCATCCATGTTCCTCCCCTTCTCCTCCTCCGCGGAGGTGAAAGAGGAGGAGGAGGAAGAGGAGGAGGATGAGAAAGAGGAGGAGGAGGAGGAGGAGGAGGAGGAGGAGGAGGAGGAGGAGGAGGAGGAGGAGGAGGAGGAGGAGGGGAGGAGGAGGAGGAGGAGGAGGAGGAGGAGGAGGAGAGGAGGAGGAGGAGGGAGAGATGGAGGACTGGGCCCCAGAGGGGGACTATGAACTGACACGTCGAGCCTTTCTCACGAAGATGGCCCCTCGAGCCTCCCAGTGGGCCCCCGAGGTTCCCCAACGAGGCCCCTAAGCGGCCTCCAAGGCGCACCCAGGAAGCCCCCCCAGAGGTTCCCAAAACGCCTCCCAGGTGCCCTCAAGAGTTCTCCACTAAGAGGCCCCTAGCGGCCTCCACGGCGCCCCCAAGAAGCCCTCCCAGAGGCCCCCACGAGCCCCCAAAATGCCTCCCAGGCGCCCTCAAGAGTTCTCCTCCAAGAGGCCCCCGAGAGGCATCCCAAGAGACCCTCATATTCATCCAGGGGCCTCCTTTCCAACGGCCCAGGCACGGTGGCGGGCGGAGTCCACCACACAACTTCCACGATCGTCGCACGCATGCGCTCCCTGTGGGGGGGGCGGCGGACTGGCGCAAGCCACTTGAATCATTACTCAGTTGCGCACTCTCTCCTGTTTGCTGCACTGCTCCACACCTTCACTCGCTTGCGATGTAGCTTGGGTCTCGCTGCTGTCTCAGATCCTTATCGACCAACCAGCCGACCGAGGAGGATGAGAAGGAGGAGGGGGAGGAGAGGAGGAGGAACAAGCAGAACACGCCCTCCTCACTGTTCTTACCCACTCTCTCCAAATCCTCCTTGTTCTCTTACTCGTCCTCCTCCTTCTCCTCGTCCTCCTCTTTCTCCTCCTCTTCCTCATCCTCCTACTCCTCCTCCTCCACATCAACATCCCAATACTCCTCCTCCTCCTCCTCCTCCTCCTCCTCCTCCTGCTCTTCCTCCTCCTCCTCCTCTTCCTTCCTTCTCCTCCTCCTCCTCCTCCTCCTCATCATCATCTTCCTCCTCCTCCTACACCTCAACATCCTAATCCTCCACTTCGTCTGCGCTGCCCTCGGATGCCCGTTCAAATAGTCGACCGGCCTCCAGCTGGTGCATCTGCAGTCCGGGCGTGTGAACCTGCCAGAAGGGAGACCGAGGAGGAGGGATGATGATGATGATGATGATGATGATGATGATGATGATGATGATGATGATGATGATGATGATGATGATGACGATGACGATGACGATGATGACGATGATGATGATGATGATGATGATGATGATGATGATGATGATGATGATGATGATGATGATGACGACGACTAGGAGGAGGAGGAGGAGGAGGAGGAGGAGGAGGAGTAGGAAGAGGAGGAGGAGGAGGAGGAGGAGGAGGAGGGAGGAGAAGGAGGAGGGGGAGGAGGAGGAAGAGGAAGGAGGGGGAAGAGGAGGAGGAGGAGGAGGAGGAGGAGGAGGGAAGAGGGAGGAGGGAGGTGGAGGAGGAGGAGGAGGAGGGACGATAGGAGCAAACCCAGAGTGCATCCATGACGCAGCATCAGCACCCTCCCGTCCCAACTCCCCTCCATATGGGATCACACAAGCTGCCCCTCCTGCTGCGGGAAGCGCGACCTCGAAAACCGAGCGCTCGGTGGGCCCGCCTCTCGGGCTGCTTGACCCCCAATTTTGAAAAACGGATGCGCCTTCTATCCTCCGAGCTAAACGACAACCAAGCTGGACGATTGTACAATTGAGAACAGGGTGACACATGGATACCAAATTTGTCAAGGCACTCATCATGCGTGCAAATGGGATAAACCTTCAGAACGTGGTGGCTATACAGCTTGCTGCGATCTGGCGCGAGAGCTTACATTCGACAAGGAGCCGCCCTCCCTCCGTGTGTGTGTGTGTGTGTGTGTGTTTCACAGCGTGGAACTCAAAGCCATAACACTTGAGGGGACCTCCTCGAGAGGAACATTTTGGAAACGAGCCTGACTCCATCCGTGTACCCGTTGGACGTCCACCCTTGAAAACGTTTGAGTTTTTGCTTCCGTATAACTGCAAGGAAGTCTCAGGCGAAACGCCTGGCTCGGCCTACGGCAACTATGGTGGTGCGACGGGGAGTTGTTCACAAAGAAAAGGAATGAAGCAGGGGAAGGAGGAAGAGGAGGGAAGATAAGGGACACGTGAGGTAGAAGGCATGAGGAGGGAGGAAGACAACGACCATGAAGAGCAGGAGATGTGAGAGGAGGTGGATCACGAAACGGGGGAAACATAATATCATAAGTAGGAACAGAAACAGGAGGACGAGGAAGGAACATGGTTGCAATCAACGCGCTCCCGCCGCCCCCTCTCTGCAAGGGCCCCAGCGAGGTGCCGACCAAACCGCGCGAGTTGCCTCGGAGAGACCTCGCGCCTCCCCACGTGAGATGCGTCCCACTGGCCGTCGGGCTGCACATCTCTGCGCCCCATGCTGCCCGAATTCTGCCGCGTGGGCATCCCGCATCGTTCAGCCCCGAAGGGCGCCTTCTGGAAGCCACTGTGCCCGCGCCCTGCACCGGTGGCACGGCACCGACAGGCCGCGGAGACGAGGGCGGTGTCCGCGGCGCCCCGCGGCCCGCCCGGAAGCGTTCGCCGCGCGAACACCCCCGTGCCTCTCGGAGCTGGTGCCCGTTCGCACGCCCGTAGTCTATCCTCCTCCTCGTCCTCATCCCCCTCCTCCTCCTCCTACTGCCTCCTCCCTCTCCTCCTCTCCTCCTCCCCCCTCCCCCTCCCCCCTCCCTGTCCTCATCCTCCTCTCCTCCTCCTCCTCCTCCTCCTCCTCCTCCCTCCTCCCTCCTCCCTCCCTCCCTCCGCCCTCACTCCTCCCTCCCTCTCTCCTCCCTCCCCTCCTCCTCCCTGCCTACCTCACTCCTCCCCCTCCTCCTCCCTCTTCCTCCTCCTCCTCCCTCCCTTCCTCCTCACTCCCTCCCTCCTCCCTCCCTCCTACCTCCTCCTCCCTCCCGTCCTCTTTTCCTCCTTCTCTCCTCCTCCTCCTCCTCCTCCTCCTCCTCCTACTCCTCCCTCCCTCCTCTTCCTCATCTTCCATCCCTCCTCCTCCTCCTCCTACTCTCCTCCTCCTCCTTCCTCCTCCTCCTCCTCTCCTCCTCCTCTCCTCGCTCCCCTCCTCCCTCCTCCCTCTCCTCCTCCTCTCCTCCTCCTCCTCCTCCCCTCCCTCCCTCATCCCTCCTCCTCCTCCTCCTCCTCCTCCTCCTCCCTCCCTCCCTCCCTCCCCTTCCCTACATCCCTCCTCTCCCTCCCTCCCTCCCTCCCTCCTCCCCCTCCCTCCCTCCCTCCCTCCCTCCTCCCTCCTCCCCTCCCTCCCTCCCTCCCTCCCTCCCTCCCTTCCCGCCCTCCTCCTCACCCCCTCCTCCTCCCCCTCCTCCTCCTTCCTCCCTCCTCCTCCTCCCTCCTCCCTCCCTCCCTCCCTCCCTCCTCCTCCTCCTCCTCCTCCTCCTCCTCCTCCTCCTCCTCCTCCTCCGCAGGCGGGGCCCCGGGGGTCCCCGAGTCCGAAGGGACCCCCGGGGCACTCAGCGAGCGCTCCCTGCGGACCGGCGCCCGCGCCGGCCGCGGGGGGCCCTGGGAGGGCCCCCCGTCCCCCGGCCCCCTCAGCCGGTCGGTGGCGGGGGCGGCGGCGAGGCTGCGGCGGCGGGGGCGGCGGCGGGGGCGGCGGCCCGGGCTGTCTCCGGGGGG